ATGGGAGTCAGCCAAGTCAGTGGAAGCAAAAGTGCAGGTTTTTTTTTTAAAGGAAAGGAAGTCAGAATTCTTTGGTTTTCATCTTTTGCAACTTTTTGAAAGACATATATAACTATTTTCTACGAGGCCGACTCAGGTTTAGTTATCATTTGTTGCTAACAATTTTTTTTTGAGATGTTGTAACTATGAATATTGTCAAGAAAAGTGAAGCCTGGTCCTTCATAACCACCATGTGCATGAAATAGGATGTATTAATCATGTGAATTCTCCATATTTTTTCACTGTGGACCTCAGGGGTACCCATTCATTTATCTGTGTTTAACTTTGCTCAAAAGAAGCGCCTGTCCAGGAGGGGGGGGGAACCTTTTTGGGATGGAAAGCACTGAACAAGTTGGTGAGATTGGTGGTGGGGCAAGAGACACTAATTCATTCACATTCACTTGTGCTTTTACACTCATTCTTCCTCCAGTTGTGAGAAGTATCTTACACCAATTTTCTTTCCAAGGGATGAAAAAAATTTAAGCATCCCAAAGAGGTTACCGGATTGGAAGAAAGTAAAATCTCACTCCCAAGTTAAAGATCCCTCTGAAGATTATTCTGGTAAATAAAGACGTTGCACACAGGATGCCCGTTATTATCAGCATAATTAACTGAGGACCCATTTCATCTCAATGGGATTGGTTCTTCCAGCTCGTTCCAACTGAAGAAACCTCCTTCAGATCTGGGGAGATTCTCAGTCATCCAGGTCACGGTTGTCTCAATGGTGCTTTTTTCTTCAAAAGGCAACTGGACTGTTTTTTTTTCCCCTTGAGGAAGAAGAAGAAGAAAACGTTTTGGTTCTCAGGAGAGAAGCAAAACATTTTCCCGCCATCAGAACTGATGAAGCTTCTTGGATGAGAAGCGAAACATTTTCCCGCCATCAGAACTGATGAGGCTTCTTGGATGAGAAGCGAAATGTTTTCTTCATCTTCTTCAAGGAAAAAACAGCCCAGTTGCCTTTTGAAGAAAAAAAACACATTTGAGATTTATTCAGACCTTGGCTGCCAAAGAATTTTGGCTGGCAGGGTCTAAGGGAGCCTTTTGGACTATGGCCCCCACCCTTTGGAATATTGTCCTATCGGTCATCCTCTACACTTTGGCCTTATAATAATAATAATGATAAAGTTGGAAGGGACCTTGGAGGTCATCTAGTCCAACCCCCTAGGCAGGAAACCCTATACCATTTCGGACAAATGGCTGTCCAGTTTCTTCTTAAAAACTTCCAGTGTTGGCGCATTCACCGCTTCTGGAGGCAGGTTGTTCCACTGGTTAATTGTTCTAACTGTCAGGAAGTTTCTCCTTACTTCTAGGTTGCTTCTCTCTTTGGTTACCTTCCATCCGTTGCTCCTTGTCCTGCCTTCAGTTGCTTTGGAAAATAGCTTGACTCCCTCTTCTTTGTGGTAGCCCTTGAGATATTCCAGA